GAGTAGACCAGCCCTGGAGGGGAGGCGCGCCTTCGCCCGAACGAAGCTTCGCCGTGTGGAAGCAAACGCAGTCCACGCAACGCTCGTTTTCTTTTTCCTTCTTGTGGTCATTATTGAAAGAGAATGGGCTCAACTCTTGAGTGCGCTTTTCCAAGCTCAGATATTATTATTATTATTATTAGTAGTAGTAGTAGTAGTAGTTTTGCCTTTATGACCCACTTTTTTTCGCCTTTGTGGGGAACCCAAGACAGCTTACATAATTTTCCACTCCGTTTTTATCCTCGCAGCAACAACCCTGTGAGGTAGGTTAGGCTGGGATCTGTGACTGGCTTCATGCATCGTATCTGACATCCCTATGCATAGTGATTAGAACAGCCTGATGTGAAATCTCACTGCAATATTCCTGGGGCCAAGCAGGATGCAGATGTTTTCTAAATGGCTGTAGGGATGCACCAAGGTTCTGCCACTCTGGTGGTCATTCCCTGGGTGGGCTACTTTGCATGATCAGATAACCTACCTGACAAACAACACCACCCTTGGCCTGGGGCAATATGACAGGCAGTGGTAGCTTGGATATTCGGAAGGTGTCCCATACAAACTGCACTGCACTGCGGCTTGAACCTGGTCTGTATGGGTTATTTATCGCATTTCTATTCTGACCAGTAGCCGAAGTTCTCCGGACAATTCTCCTCCATTAATTAGGCGTTTTTACCTTTGCTTCTGTCTTTTGCTATGCTAATGCTTTCTCTTGGTGATTCCTGCCTCATGCTTCTTACTGACCTTTGCAGCATCTTTTCTCAAGGCTCTCTCTCATTCATACCTTCCTTGTTTTTCAAAGTGACAAACACAATTAACTCATTCCTTCTCATTATTCTTGGTCTTAATTCTCTTCTAATTAAGCTCTTTAAATGCCTTTCACCTCTTTTATCTTCTCTTCCAATTCTTCTCATGTGTCAGCATCTCTAGACACATCTGACCTTAGATGGCTAGACCTTTGCTGGCATTTCCTATCACTTAAATATATTACTTCTTGACCCCGCTGGGGTCCATCTATTTGTATTTAAAACAATTCCCCCTTTGTCTTACCATGCAGGGTTTAAGTAGCTTGCATATTCTCCTTGCCTGCTCTTTAGTGTTTCTTCCATCTTGAAATATTCTTTTTGAAGTTCTTCACCAGACAGGCCGGGATCCATGGGAATTTTTCCACAAGTAATAAACAGTCTTTCTTTGATGAAGGATGATGCCAATATATTGCTAGATTTATTATGCTGTTATCGACAGGAGTTAGTCCCAATGTGTTGGGAAGGTGTCAGGCTGGGGAAATCTGATTTACGTGGTTCCTTCCCAACATGGTACTACAAACATTGCTGTGATCAAATCTCATTCCAAAGAATTGAATCACAGTTTGCTGTTGTATCGTGGTTTGTTGCTATGTGCAAACTCTGAATAAAGGTGTAGTTGTGGCTTGTTAACCACGAGCAACCCAAGGGTGTCTTGGGCTCCATGGATTCTTATCTTGGGTTGTTTATGGTTAGCAGCCTATAGTTCAACCACTGTGTACGGTTTGCAGGTAAGGACAACCCATGATGCAGCAACAAGCCATACTCTGGGTTGTTGTTATGTGCGAACCAGGCCTTACTGTGCTGTACTTTATGCACCCCAAGCCAAGATTCCTGCCATGCGATAGCTGGCAGTGGGATTCACATTAACCACTGGCTCTGAGCTGAGTTCCTCTCCACGGGTGCACCTTTCTCACTTTTTAACCTTCCCGACAGTGAGGATCAAAAAAGTGGCTTATGCACAAAGTCGTATGCACGTTTAGACAAAGTCCTATGATTCCTGGCATCCCTGACCAGCATGCTGGATGTTGCAGGGGGTTTTCCCATCGAAACATGCATAGGATTGAGCACTTAGTGCATTAAAGGAACAACTCGTTTGTGTTTAGGGACTACGAACACCTGCCAACTGAATTCTGCTTTTGAATTTTTCTTCAAGCAGAAAGGAAACTGATCATCTGCGGTCACCTTCTGAACATCGCATACCTTGGCCACTGCCTTCCTTTTTTGTTCTGACTTAAGAATTCAGTGTGACTCAGAGAACTGCGCATTTTCATGCCCACATGCAACAGCTGATCCGCTTTAGAAGATCGCTGTACCAGCAGTTCCTCTCACAGAAGTACTTGGATCCATGCAAAATTAAGGAATCAAAGTCTGGGTCAAGATCTGTATTTCTTTAGATGGCATTTTTTTATGTACATGGTACGTCCACGTGTACAAGGTCCCTGTCCCAAGGAGCTTACAGATGAAAGCAGGGCTGGCCACGTTCCCCCGCACCTGGGAATGCCCACCCTCTTTGCAAGCAGAATCATGGTCCCCAGTGGGTTCTGGGGCTGGGGCAGAATGCAGCCTCTGGACCCTGAAAGGAACCTGTCCTTGATCTAAAGCTCGTTGGATGGGAAGCAGGCAGGTGAGGGAGAGAGAACCGTGGGCAGCAGCGGTGAAGCCGTCGGCCGTTCAAGTGACCTGCATTTAGGCTGTGCCGGTGCAGCATCCTTTGCCAGCTCATCTGGGCAGCACGAGGGCTGGGACGGCCACCATGAGCCTGGAAACCGGCCGACTCCACAAGCCTTGATGGACAAGGTGGAAGAGGGAGGGAAGGGAACCAGGTGGCAGTGTTCTGGGAGGCGGTTCCTGCCGAGGCGGAGGGGCTTTTCGAGGGAGCCCGGCCTTTATGCTTGTGCAGGGGGGCGGTGAAGGGACTGTAAGGCGAGTTGCTTGGACAGGTAGGGGAGCAGACAACTTGGCTGCTGTCCCTGGGGCAGAAGGCACGCGAACTTTCCCCAGCTGGGCACCATTCCAGTGACACATTGCCTTACGTCACTTCTGGCCCTCCCTCCCTGCTGTTCTGCCGTCCCAAACGGAAACATTTGCTTCCACCCAAGCAGGATGGCTGCTCCTCGGGTGCCCCTTGGGAACTTCGAGCTTCAGCGTGTGAACATGCCGAGCTTCAGCGTGTGAACCCAAGTGGTAATAAAGCCATCGGCGGAAAGGAGCGGTGCCTCCTTCCCCCTGCTGCTGGCTCAGCCTCTCGGCTGCAGTGGCGCTGAGAGAGCGGGGAGGCATTCCTGGCTCACCCCTTTTGTCCAAACAGGAGGATGCTTCGGGCGTGCGGCCGCGTCCCCACTGTACCTGGCGGCTTCGTTCCGGTTCCCATGCGAGGGCTGCTGTGAGCACCTCGATTTGTCAGCCACATCTGCGTGGTGGCAAAATGACTTCCTGCACTGCGACACCCCCCTCTCAGACACCCCATGAGGTGTCCGTACCTGGCTGTACCTCCCTCTTGGGCTTTACGCAGCTGCGATTTGTCCTTCTCTCATTGCCCCGTATACAGGTGTGGGCCTCTTTCTCGTGCAGCTTGTAATGCCCTGCCATCCGGTGAAATGGACCGTGCCAGTGATGGGGAGAGACCACATGGAAATAACAGGCTATGATTTGTAAAAAACCCAGATCTTGTCTGTTCTAATGTTCAGCCAAGAAACGGAGGACTTCTGGAATCCCTGCGCGTATTTTCAAGGAGGGGGAAAGGCACAGTGTGTGTTTAACCCACCCAGTACCACTCGCCCTTTCGATAAAGTGTCCTGCTTGCAGGAGAAACAGGTGCTAGCAGGGCCCCAGGACAAGCAGGATCCCTGCCTGCCGAGGGGAAGGCAAAGGGTTAAAAACAACACCTTCCTGCAGACCTGAGGGCTGAGAGCTTGGAATGAGCAGGGCCCTCAGTTGCTGGAGCCGAGACTGAGGCAGCCCGCTGTTTCTCTCTCTCTCTCTCAGAATGCAGACCTTAATTGGAAAGGAAATCGCAACAGAAACGCTTTATTTGCTTCTGGAGCCAACAGCAGCAGGGCTTCTTTGTACTCTTGTTTATGGCAAGCTTTTTAAATGAGTGTAATTGAATGGTAAACGGATCCTGTGCAGTTTGTCATTTTACTTTTTTTCTCAAGAAAAAATACTTTGGAAGGTAGAGAGAGCGAGAGAGAGAGAGAGAGAGAGAGAGAGAGAGAGAGAGAGAGAGGGCACATGTGTGTGCATCAAAGGAACTCTGTCTGAATAACAACCCCAGGTGAGGTTTTATAAACGCTTTTTGGCATTGTTCTGCTGCCAGCGTATCCCCAGGGAAAATGCCTTCCAGTGGCTGGTGCTGCAGAGGGGAAGGTTTGCAAGCAGAGACGGGGCGGCGTATAGGCCACCGGTGGGGCCAGCTTGTGGACCCCCAGGCTGAAAACACCCCGCAGCCCTAGCTAGCACTCATCACAGGAAAAAGAATGTCCTTCTAAAGTGAAATTTGTACACGGGGACAAGAAAAAATACATGATACAACTGGGACTTATTCAGGCCAGTTTTCTGCATGTCCTGGCCGCTTCTGTCGTCTGTAAATTAACAGCAGGTCCCTTTGGGTCTCAGAGAACAACCTTCTGCATTATCTGGTACCAGACCCTTTTAGTGGGCAATCCTATGCTTGTTGAGACAGAAAAGGGGCATAGGATCGCTTTAGATAATTGAACCTGGGTCTGTCTGATGCCAAATGTGCTTTTGCCAGTGAGTTCTCTGTGTTTCTCCACTGCACCAAGCAGTAAACTCAGTTTGTGTTACGACTGACATGTGACACAGTGCGACCTAATGAAAAAGCAGGTTGATTTAGGAGAAAGAGGGCATCAGGCAAAACACAAGAACTTGAGCATCTGTCTGTAAAGTGAGTAAAAGAAGGTCGAACATCCTTAAAGGACTCGACAACCGGACTGTCCAAGTATTTTCAGACCTTTTCTTTCTTCGTTTCCCAATTAAAAAGAGTTCAGTTTCGGGGTCTCTGCACAACTGCACTTTATTTCAGCCAGTCTGTGAGTACAGTATTGAAATAATGCATTAAAAAAAGTTTTACAGCACAAGTTGATTACCTGTGTATTGATAACATTTGCTTCAAGTAATGCTCACTGTGTATTTTTGATTTTAGAAACCCCAGCTTTAACTTTCCTCTCCTCTCCTGCCTTTTCCCAAATTTTTGCCTGGAGCATTTCCCCGCCGTTTGTGATTTGTTACTTCAGTTTCCTCCTTTTCAGACATTGAGTATCTCAAGTCAGTCCTTCCTGTTAAGACAGAGGAAGCTTTCTTTGAATACCTTCTTACTGTAGATGCATCCGAAGTTTCCCTCTCGTCCGCTCCCGAGGGCTCCGTTGTCTTCTCACGGGTGGGTATGTCCTGGACAACCTGCTTGCAGTCCGCTCTTCTCAGGCGCCCGATCGCAGGATCTCATTTCTCTGCGAAGTGAAAGGGAAGCTCAAGAGAATTTTGCACTCTTTCACGTAACAACTTAACCTGCTGTTCTTACGGCTAACATACGGTGCATCTTCCGCACTCCGCTTTAATGAGCTCTCTAGTTCAAGGCTCAGTTGTTGAGGGTTGAAGCACTGTAGGTCTCTCAGGCTGTAGCAAAAATGGCGGGCCTGCTTAACCTCCCAGCTGCAATGAGTGTAACGAAGCACTTAATTTCCCCTTGTTCCTTCAGGTACCGTTACTTCAAGTGAAGGGTCCCCTGCTTGTGGTACAGCTATTAGAAACTACCCTGATATGCCTGGTGAACTACGCCAGGTGAGAATACGAGTGGCATCTGGGGTTTGATACGCAGCTGCAGGGCCACCTCATCCAGGACTGCGGCCCTTTGAGCAGAGGGTGGTCTGGCGCCAAATTCCCAAATTGCTGCATGGAAGGCACCTCCGGCTTGTGGGATGCAGCGCACGGGGCAAAGGAGCGAGTCCGAATCGCTTGGAGGTTTCCGTTTTTGCAGGATTGCGGCATGCTGCAGCCGACACGCAAGGAGAGCGATTTCTAAGGCTTTAAAAAGGCTTAGACGATTGTATGACGCTTCCCAAAACCTAAAAAGGAGGAGCAGACAGACAGACAACTAGTGGAAAGTCGTGCTCTCAAGGGTTCCTTGTGATCCCAAGATCCCATTTGGGGCCTCGGCGAGCGTAATGGATGCGTTAGGTGCCGTTTTCAAGAACCGGAGCGGAAATTTGCCTCCGAATGTTCATCTGTTGGCACTCGGCAAAGAGCTGCTTTCTCGGTCGGACATGCTGTCCATTTGCTCTTTCCCTCTCAGACGCTTTCCCTTTTACCCAGTGGCTCCACAGCACTTTTTGTCCTTGCTGTTTTCTTTGGCTGCCGCTGGCCTTTGGCAGCCGTGCCAGAGTGGCTTCCGCACGCGCTGGGGGAGTCGCAGGGTGGCCGCTGTCGCCCGCCTCCGCTGCAGAGCGCGTGTCCCCTGCTCCCCTGCTCTGCAGGGCTTGGAAGCACTGCCCTGTGAGGGGAGGCTGAGGGAACTGGGCACATTCAGCCCTGAGAGGGGAAAGTTAAGAGGGCATGATATCCCTCTGTGAGTCCCTCCAAGGCTGTCCCAAAGAGGGAGGCCAAGATCTCCTCTTGCTGATGCCAGAGTGCAGGACAGGGAGTAATCAGTTCTAGCTGTGACAACTCAGATTCAGGCTGGACAGCAGGAAAAGCTTCCTCACTGTCAGAGCAATGGGGCAGTGGGACCGGCTGCCCGGAGAGGTGGGGGGCTCTCCCACACTGGAGGCATTTGGGAAGAAACTGGACAGCTCTCTGAGCAGGATGGTGTGACTTGGTGTGCTGCAACAGCAGGGGGTGGACCTGATGGCCTTCAGGGCCCCTTCCGCCTCTGCTATTCTGTGATTCTCTGTGGTGCTTGAGGTTCCATGTCCACGTTGAAGCAATAATAGGCAAAGGAAATTAAGGCAGGCAAGTGGCTGGTTTTCTTAGGTTTGGGGCCTTGTTGCAAGTTGTCTCCAACTTGTGGCCGCCCTGTGTGTGAGCGCTCTCCGGCGGCCCACCCTCTTGGGAACTCCAGGCTGTGGCTTCCTTCGTGGGCCTGGCCCATCTCGCAGCCGGTCTCCCGCCGCTTCTCCCGCCTTTGGCTTTCCCCAGCCCGATGGTCTTCCTCAGGAAGCCCAGCCTTCTCACGATGCTCCAAAGCATGACAGCCCCGGTTTCTTCATGTTTGCTTCCAGGTCAAGTTCTCGCTTGATCTGATGCCGCATTTATTTCCCTGCCTGCTTAAAAAATAAGTAAATTTTATGGGTGTACTTTAGTGATGAGCCTCAGCTGGAAGGCTGAGAGGTCGGACCAAGCCTGGCCCCCCGCTTCCAGGGGGCTGACTGTACCTCGGAGCTGTGGCAGCTTTCCTCGCTCCCTCCGTCGCTCTCCCCCTCCCCTCTGGGGCGGGGGTGCGTGCAGAAAGGAGTGCCGGTTCTCGTGGGTGCGCAGAGGCCTGGCTGAGATCGCACACAGCTCTCCCTGGGTCCTTTCCAAAGAAGGGTCCCCCCGCAAAGGGTCGTCTCCATCCCTGAACAAAAAGGAGCTGTCCACCCGGGCTTTGGGATGGGGATGTTGGTGAGAGGATGAACGAGCTGGCTGACGTCCTGCCTCAATTTCTTCCGCAGCCTCGTGGCCACAAATGCCGCCAGGTTCCGCCTTGCCGCAGGCCCGGACAAGAAGCTCATGGAGATGGGGCTGCGGCGGGCCCAGGGGGTGGATGGGGGCCTCGCCGCCTCCAAGTATTCGTACGTAGGAGGTAGGTTTGCCCTTGCCGACGGTGCTGAGTTCCCATCAGCACGGAGCCAGAAGGGAAAGATTCTTGCTGAAGCTCAGGGGATGCCTGGACCTCTTGCGGAAAAGCTTTCTGCACGTGGCAGAGCTCCTCCGGGCTGCTGCCTCCCCAGGGTACCGAAGTGGCAGGGGAGGCCGGGAGGCCGGGCTCGGAGCATGTCCGCTTAGGGGCTTGCCCGAGGCCCCCGGCGCCTCTCCTGACTCCTTTCTTCGGCACTGCAGGCTTTGACTATACCAGCAATGTCCTCGCGGGGAAGCTCTACGGGATCCCCGTGCGGGGGACGGTGGCCCACTCGTTCGTCTCCTCGTTCAGTTCGCTGGCAGAGGTCAGCCCACGGGTAAGGAGTGGGGCGAGCCGGGGGGAGGGGAGGGGAGGGGAGGGGCTGCCGGGGGCTGGTGGAGTCCCGACGGGGAACGTCTGCGGAGAGTCTGAGCCTGGCCGCCCAGCGAACTCCCCCTCCCCCTCCCTTGCTAGGTTCCGACGTGTGTGTGTGTGTGTGTGTGTGTCGTTATTTAGGGAAGATATTGCCCACCGCTGGGACCCCTCCCCAGCCAGCTGGCGGGCGAGATGAAAGCAGGGCAGAAGCTCCAGGCGATCCGCTAGTGAGCTGCAACGCATAGATGCAAGGCGGCCTGCGTTGTTTGCAGACCGGTCGGGAGGAGGCAGACCCATGGCTGGCGTGCTTGAGAGGTCTAAGCACCATCGGGGAGGGATGCCGGGCGGTCCGCTGTCTGGGTGCCGGTGCTGGGGAGGCCCTGTCCGGCTGGCCAGAGACCCGCATCAAGGCCGGCGTCAAAGCCCTCAGTGAACGTGCAGGACCCGGAGGGAGAAGAGGGGGCGTGTGCCTGTGCCAGCCCCGATCTGACAGTCCTCGAACGGGGGCAGGCCCTTCCTGGCCCCCGGGGCGCCAAGAGGCAGCCGGCGTGGCCAGGGATCGGTCCGACGGCCCCTCCGATCTCACCCACAGGAGCTGCTGCCCCTGGGCGGAGAGGCGCCGGTGGACTTCCCTCCCCTGGCGGAGACGTGGCTGAGCCGGGTGTGCCGAGTCCTCCAGGTCCCCCTGGAAGGGGTGAACCCCGGGGAGCTGGCGGCCTTCCTGTCCTACGCCATCACCTTCCCACACCACTTCCAGGGCCTGGTGGACACCTACTGCGTGATGAGGTGAGGTGGAACGGGAGAGCTCCGGACTCACTCTGCAGAGCGATGCTGGAGACTTGGGCTTGGCTGGGTTTTGCTTAAAAGCTTCCAGAGGCTTGGAGACGCTGCATGTTAGGCCAGGCAGATCCTCTCTCCCTCGGGGAGCCGGTCTCGGGCGTGCAGGGGCGCCTGGGAGGGCATGTGCACATGGGTTGAAGGCAGCCGGCATGGGGCAGAATCCCCACCTGTCTAGCCAAGAGCTCGAACTTCCAGGAAAGGCATCTCAGCTTTTGAGACGTGGGGAGAGACCCCCTGGCCAGAAAGCCATTCCAAGGCCGGCAAGCGGGGGAAGGCAATCCATGGGCCCCCAGAGAGCTGGGTTTGTCCCCCAGGCCTGCCGTGCTGCCTAGGGGGCCACACCGAGTGCGAACTCCCCCAGGAAGGCTTGGCTCCTGCTCCCTCCGAAGAGAGCTTCCCGTGCCTGGTGCCCGTGCCAGTCTCTGGGGGAAGGTGCCCTATTTCCACCTCGGGCACCATAATAACGCTTTACAGATGGCGGGGCGTTCCATTCCCAGCCTCGGCCATTTGCTGAAGTGGTAAATGGGTGGTTCTGTGCCAGGCTCAGGGAACACAGGCTGGATGTCCATCCGCCGGCCTTTGTCTGGCTTGTCCCTTCCCTGCCATCTTGGAATGACTCAGAATGGCTAATTAGTCCCTGGGAGCCTGCTTTGATCTTCATTTGTCCACCCTGAAATAGGCTGCTCTGGCTGCAGGGGGGGTTTGGCAGGCGCCCCCTTCTCCCGCCCTCCAGCTGGCTGCCGGGGTCTCCATGGCCAAAAGGAAAGGGGAAAGAACGGCTTTTCTTTCAAAAGTGTTCTTTCTGAACACTGGGAACCAGCTCTTTCTCATCACCGCTCAGCCGGGGTGTTCCAGCAGGATGGGAGCCAAACCAGAGCACTGAGAAACAGGGGCGAGACACTGGAATGCACACGACAACCTTGGGGGGCAGAAGGAGCCCGAGGGGCAGCTCAGCCTGCGCTGGCCCTGCCTAGCGACCGCAGGACGTTGAGCGGCAGCTTGGAGAGGGGAACGGGCCCTGGGGCAGTGGGGAGCGGAAAGCCCCCGAGCGCACAGGGCATTGTGCAGGCTGGCTGGAACCCCGAGCGGGGCCGCGAGGGGCCGCGACGTTTTGTTGCCGGTGCCACTTTTGACCCCTTAAATGGCGCTTCCGCACGGGGCACTGCAAGTGAGGAGCGGTTGCTGGGGCGAGCCAAGGATAGCTACCCCTTCACGCACTAGTTGTAAGCTTGCCAAGCTAGTTTCTGGCTGTCCACTGTTGGAAACAAGCGGGTAGGATAGCGGGCCTTCACCTCGATGTCACGGGACTCTGCTTACGGGCTGCGGTGGGCCTCTTCTCTCCGCAGGAGCGGCATCCCGAACTTCTGCGCAGTCGCCCTCGCGCTGAATGAGCTGGGGTACCAGGCCATCGGGGTTCGCCTGGACAGTGGGGACTTGGCCAGACAGTCAGCAGAGATCCGTCGAGTGTTTCGGAGCTGTAGCGAGCAGTGAGTGCCCACGGCAGCCCCTTTTGCATGGCGGGGGGATTGGCTTTAGCCCTGATGGCCCCTTTGGGGAGGGGTCCAGGCAAGCCCTCCTCCAAGAGCGCCTTACGTTCCAAAAAGCGCTTGGGGAAAACTTGCCGTCAGGGTCAGAGGTGGCAGCGCTGTGGGAGATGGAGGTGGCACGCTGTCTCCGAAGCCTGGACTCTCTTTTGCCGAGGGACAGCTCTGCTCCTTCCTGACTTTCTCCTACATTTCTGCTTGCAAGGAGACTTCCAGTTTGGAAGAAGCAAGTCAGTTGCCCCCAGAATTAGGTACCTGAAGTATGTTTTTGGAGGGCGGGTTGCTGTGACGGAGGGGACTCCACAGTTGGCCCCTGGCATGGTGCATCTCCCGCGAAAAGGGCTGGGGTCCCTCTGCTGAGACCCTCGTGGAGGAGCGTCCGTGTGTCCCAGCAGGGAAAACACTGCCACACACAGGCTGGGTGAACGCGGCGGGAAGCTGCTCCTCTCACCCGCGTGTCTCCCCGCCAGCTTCCAGGTCCCCTGGTTCGAAGCGATCCCCATCGCCGTGAGCAACGACGTGACCGAGCAGAGCCTCGCGGAGCTGGCCCAGGAGGTGAAGCCGAGCTTGCGCTGGCCCGGATGGGCAGAGGCGGGGCCGGTGTCGGGGTCTCGGTGGCATTGTCAGGGAACCCCTGCCCTCTCTTCCCCTTCCGAATGAATGGATCGCATTAGTCGTGCAGTCATAGAATAGGGCGTTCGTCATTGCCCTTCTATTTTGAGGCAGCGAAAGCTCGGAGCATGGAATGCCTCCGTTCGGGATCGCAATATCCCGCTTTCTTTCCCCACGCGTCTGCTAGCACTCTGTCGGCCGTGCGCCAGCTCTGTCCTCACGGGGCTGGTTTGGAGCTTGTACGTGTTTCTGCCCCGTAGCTTCCCCCTGCTTGGGGGCGCCCCGTTCTCTGACAACCTCGGGCTGCCTCCTCACACACCAGCAGCACCCTCTGGTGGTGCCATTTTGCCCACGAAAGACTCCGAGGCTGGAGATCACCACAGGCAGCTGGGAACTGCAGTGAGCATGTGATCCCAGCTGCCCCATTCAGCCCCCCCCCCCCCAAGTTTCCTCCCTCCCATGCACAGCTGCAGCAATCCGGGTTCTGTGCGCATCTGGAATGCGCCGTCCCCGTCGGGATGTGGCACATAAGCGTTTTTCCCTAAAGTTTTCTGTACTTCCATCGAGCCCCTTGGGGGATCCGCGATCACAGTCAGTAAATGCATCGGTGCCTCATTTCCACCAGTTCATGGGATTATCCCGGCAACCCTTAAAGCAGCCCCATGGGAGCCGGTGGCACAAACGATCCTGCGGGGAGGGCACGGGAGAGTGCAGGCTTGCTCGGGCCACCCAGAGCATGGCAGGCCTGCAGTCTGACCTCTCGGGAAAGCTCGTTCAGTCGTGTGCAGAAACAGGCCTCGTTGCTGGCTGCGAGGACGGGCGACTGCGTGGGGTGTGCTGAGGGCTGGTCAACTTCCATCCCATCTTGCTCTGGTCTTGCCAGGGGAGCGAAATCGACATGATCGGAGTCGGGACGCATCTTGTCACGTGCCCACTTCAGACCACTCTGGGCTGTGTCTACAAGGTAAACCTTTCCCCACGTGGCGCACCTGGACGGGCAGGCGGGCAGGACTGGTGTCTCTTTGGTGCTCCTGTTTAATGTCAAAGCCGCCCCTTAATTAACTGAGGGCAGAGAACAACCTGCCATTAACTGAAAGTGTCCAGTAGGACTAGTCAAGCTGTCTATAAGATTAATAAATGAATAAATAAATAGACCTGCTGTGGTGGCATAAAGCAACTGATTAGAAAGGCGGGGGAGTCCATTCTGTGTTGCCCGGCAGCTGTTCTCAAACCTGATGCCAAGCTTTGAGGATGACAGATGTCTGTCTGGGGAAGAAGAAATAACTAAATTTCTAGTCCTCAGGATTCTGACCTTTTTTTTTTTTTTTTTTGGCAAAGGAGCAACAATACCCCAGGTGTGCCGTTCCCACTGCTGCTCCGCTCAGGGGTGAGGACTGGGGCAAAGTCACCACCTGGGTCTTGTGTGTGGTCACACCAGGGGAATTGCGGCTGCTAAAATAGCACCCTTGAGCCCCCGAATCGGCTCTGTAGAGGCCCGTTCTGAGGCTCAGGGAGAAGATGGGCGCCCAGCATTCGGTGGCGTGAGGGTGCTCTGCTGGCTTAACCTTTGGCATAGCTGCCTGGAGGTATCCTGAGGACACGGGTTGCTTTTGAAATGGCCAAACTTTTCAACATTCTGCTGCATGAACTAGCACCTCAGTGCCAAACTTAACAGCGTGGTCATCAGCCGAGTATGTAAACAAGAACCTCACTGCCACCATCTGATTCCATTTCCTTTTTGTTTTATTAAAATCCCTCCTTTTTCCTTCCAAGGAACCCAAGGCGGCTTGCAGAATTCTCCTCGTCTTCACCTTTTCCTCAGAACAAGAACCCCGGGAGAGTCCGGGACCGGCCCAAGGGCAGCCATTGCGCTCCACGGCTGAGCGGGGACCAGAGCGCAGGTCGTTTGAGCCTCGCCCTGCCCCCTGGACCGCCACGCCACTTAGTACCCGTCCAGAGAGCCACGGAGCCCTCTGCCAGCATTTCGTGGCAACCATACCGAAAGCCGCCCTGGGAAGCTTGGACCCCACCCCCGCGGCATCATGCCCCCTCCCGATTTTGCCTGCCTGCCTGCCTGCCTCTGTCTCCACCGAAACTCTCCGACAAAGAACCCGCTTGCTTCGGCGGTCCGATCCTCACCAAGGCGTGGGTCGAACGCTTCAGCCCGGCCCCTGAGCTTCACCCGGCCTCCCGCCCCGCCACTGTCCCGTCCCTTGGCAGCCCCTCTTCCCAGGTGCTGCCCAGGTGGCGTTAACATTTGTCTCCTGTGTCTCCAGCTGGTAGAAGTGAGTGGTTCTCCAAGACTCAAAGTGACCGAGGACAAAGAGAAGGCCACCCTGCCGGGAAGCAAAGCCGTCTACCGGCTCTGGGGCGCTGCGGGTGAGATTTCGGGCCAGGTTGGAACGAAAGCGGATTTTCTGGACGGGTGGGGCGTGGCGGCGCACCTTGCCGGGTCCCCTGCCCAAGGCTTTGGTGACTTTCTAGCCGGCTCTGCGGCCACTGGGAGCAGGGCCGTACCTGCGTGTGTGCGTTTGTTCACGCGCACACCTGCATGGCTTTGCCGCCAAGCTGAGCCACTCTAAAGGGCGGTTCCTGAAGGCAGTCCCAGAACTGAGGATTCTTCTGCCTGGTGCTTGGCTGGCAGAGCGGGATGGAAAGGTCTTGCACCTCTTTTCCCGGCCTCTTGGGCTCCGTCTCCGTAATCTGCATCATCTTGAGAGCTCTCTTGTCCTTTGTGAGGCCCACTCCCAGCACTTTTAAGATCTCTCAAAGAGATTTTGTTTTGAACACCATCTCTTGTGGATGCCGGAGTAGCATTTGCGAGGCGTGGAACCTTTTCAGCGTCGCCCTTGTGTTATAGGAACATACAAGCCTGCTCACAAGTTATTACAGTTGTTAAGCTTGCTCATTTATGGGAATCACCATGAAGAGCAGGTGAGGTGGGGCCTCTTACACATGGCAGCTGTTTAAATAACAGAAAGCAGAGGTGGTGCAAGCAGGCAAGCCACAGAGTGGAAGCACAGAGAGAGCGCGAGTCGGGCGGGGCCTCCCGGGCCATCTAGTCTGACCCCGGCTCCAGCTGGCTCCGCTCACGACATGCCCACCATGTGCACATCCAGCCTGTCCTTGAACACCCTCCCCGATGGGGCCTCAATGTCCTCTCGTGGAAGCCCCTTCCACACCCTCGGGGTCCCGACTGTCAGGAAGTGCTTCCTGGCATCCAAATTGGACCTGGGTTCCCTGAGCTTTGCTCCATTGGAACACATCCTGCCCTCATATATAGGAAAAAGGCCACAACCCATCTCTGTGTCACCCTCTATGTGTCGCCAACAGGTCCCCTCCGAGTCTCCTCTTCTCCAGGCTGAAGAGACCCAGTTCCCTCAGTCTCACCTTATACGGCATCCCCTGCAAACCGGCCACCAACCTTGTGGCCCTACGCTGCACCAATTCCAACCTGCCTATATCCCTCTTGTAATGAGGGGCCCAAAACTGAGCACAATACTCCAGTTGTGGGAGCTCCAGAGTCATACAGAGTGGCAGCAATACTTCTCTCGATACAGAAGCCACACTTCTGGCTATGCAACCAAAGGTGGCATTTGCCTTCTTGACTGCAGCATGTATTATGGAACCCCCCCCCCGCCTCCAACTGAGTATCTTGATTTTGGAAGGCTGACCCTAACCGCCGCCTCCTCCTCCTCCTCCTCCTCCTCCAGGAATTGGCCCAGTTCCCCTTTAACACCTTCCAAACTGGTGGCTGTCACCACTTCCTGTGGCAGTGAGTTCCACAGTTTAACTGTGTGCAGTTTGAAGAAGTGCATTGACCTGTCCGGAATCTCCCATCAGCTTCAGGGGGTGGCAGCTCTGGGTTTTAGTATTATGAGTGGAGAAAAGCTCTCCCTCTCCACCTTCATGTCTCCATTTCCTGCACGGCCGTGAGCACCTCCTCTCATGCCTCCCTTGACTCACCCGTTTTTCCAAGCTGCGCAGCCCCAGTCGCTGTAACCGTTCCTCCAAGGGGACTCAACGAGCTGCTTGAGCATTTCATCCTCTTTTCTGTGCTTTTTCTGACTCTGCCATCTCTTTTTTGACTGCAACTGGGCACGCTATTAAGTGTGGTTTTTGCATGGCTTGGTGACCCTGTCGATCTCATTTTCCATCGCTCTCCTAATTAGGGCTAACAAGGAATTTGCCATTTTCACAGCAGCTGTGCGCTGGCCCAAAACCAACCTTCAGAACCCTTTTTGGGTCAGTCACCTCTTGTCTGGAGAATCCCAGGCTCTAGATCAAGGATGATGGATGTGGTAGCCCTCCATTGTCTGGAAGGCCACGGTTCTCCACCCCTGAGCTTGAGCATTGGTCAGAGGAGGGAAGCACCACAAAATTTAATTTAATTTAATTAAAACATTTATTTGCCGTAGCAGCAGCCTCAGGATGGCTTACAGAAATAAAAATAAACAATATAAATCACAATATAATATTAGAAATAGCATTAAAAACATTCCACAATAAAACAAATTAAGAACAATATATCATAATTAAAGAAAGAAAGGGTGGGGGGGAAGGAAAAAAAGGAAAAAATGTTGACCCAGTGTGTGGCTGTGAAAAAGCAAATTCCCTGTTGGCCTGGAACTTGTGTCCTGAAACAGGGAATAACTTCCCAGGAAAGTCAGAGCCCTCTCGTGGTTACTGATGTCTAAAAAATGCAATCTTCAGGTCCTCATGGCTGAGTCGAGAGGAAAAGCACAGAAATGTGGGGAGATGCATGGATATGCTGGAATTGCTGGCGTCTGTAGTTACTGGAATTCTGCGCCGGAGCGCTGCTATTCAGGGATGTGTCCACGGCACCCTTTTGCCTGTTCCCGCTCTTGGGATCAGGATTTTCAGGTTCAAATCTTGAACGGCACGTCCGAGAGAGCCCGCGGCTGCCACTGCGCCACGTCCCCGATGCCGCTTGGGGTGGCGCCCCCTGCCCCGTGCATCTCGGCCGCACCCCTGCTCACGCTGGCTTCCTCGTGTCACCGGCAGGCTTCCCGTGCATGGACCTCATGGCGCTGGAAGAGGAGCCTCCCCCAGAGGCTGGGCAGGAGGTTGAGTTCTGGCCGCTGGAGCAAGCCACCGAAGCGGCGAAGATCACTCCCGCAGCAGTGGAAACCCTGTACCGCGTGTACTTCCAAGACGGGCAGGTGTGGGGAAACCGTTTCTCTTCCGCTTCCCCTCCAGAGCAGAGCCGAGGCCCCTGCTCTGGTGCACTGGCCCGCTTCGTCACTGGCCCGTGGCAGGGAAGGTCCTGCCCTCCGTGGGGGACCGGACGGCCGGGGCCATGAGCGAGACGGGCCAGCGGTAGAATTGGGAGGCAGTGAAGCAGCCTCCCCGTGCCTCGTGTGCGCCCGATGTCTTGGGCCGCAATCCCCATCATGCCCAGGCGGTGTGACCCATGGGAGCTGTTGTCCCACCCAGCTGGAGGACGCCAGGTTGCGGGGGTGCGATGTAAAGTCTTGCAACGCTGTGAAGGGGTCTAGGCAACTTGTATGGGGCGTGGACAAGAGATTTCTTTCTGGCTGCCAGCCCTGCGACCCGGTGGCCCTTCTTCTAGGCGAGTCAGACCTCTGAACACCCAGCAGCAAAGCGTGGGAGGGGGCTGTCGCATTAAGGGTCCGCTTGGTGGCCAGCGCTGGAAACGACACGGGGCCAGGTCAAGGGTGGCCAGCCCCTCCCAGTGCAGGGGCCAGGTTCAGTTTCGAAGGAGCTCCAGCGGGGCTGAAACGAGGGACCAAAATCTAACACACGCCGGCACATTTTAGCAATCGGCTTATATTGCCCTTAACTGCCTGTGACTAAGCAATGGGAAAAGCAGGCGGGCCTTTTGGAACTGCACAAAAGCCGGAGAGCCATCAGTGGTCATGGGGAAGGAGCCTGAGCGGGCTGAATTCGGCCAGCATAGAGGCAGGATTTGGCCTTTGGGCCTGAGGATTTGTGCCTGTCGTGAGATGACTCTGATGGGATCCAGCAGGGCGCTTTGTAGGATCGCCCTTTTGAGGACCTAGATTCCGGAGCCCAGAAGATGCGTGGGCCTGAACAGCTCTCCTCCTGCCTTTCCCGCCACAGGTGTGCCAGCTGCTCCCCAGCCTCGTGGAGATCAAGGACCATGTCACAGCCTCCTTGGACAAGCTCAGTCCTGCCCATAAGAGGCTGCACGGCGCAGAAAGCTACCAGGTAGCCTTGAATCTCTTAACGGGGACTTCGGTTCCAGCCCTTTCGCTTCTCTTTTGCTCAGACTCGGGTAGAATCAAGGGAGGAGTTCAGAGCAATTTTTCTGACCGTTGCATTCGGAGTTCTAAGTAGAAGCCAAGGAAAGGCTGTTGGCTCTGGGAGGAGTCCTCCGAGTCATTTTGTGCGCCCACTGGATCCCAAGCAGAGCAGAGGAACTGGCGGGGACCTCTTGTGCCCAAGCTGTGAGCTTGATGTGATAGCAACTCGTGTATCAAAACCGGGTCAGACATTTCCAGTTTAACTGAGGGCAAGTTGATGTTCAGCCAGGAGTGGCGGCGACCCTTCCCCAAACTGCCACCTGCTGGTTTTCTTCTGATGTGGCTCGGATGAGAAGCATCAGACCCGCCTTCCAGCCAGCGGGAAGACTTGGCACCAGACAGTGGCCTGTGCCTTGGTTTCTTTAATAACATGCAATCCTGCTTTTGTGTAGAGAATCGTATCCAGAGTGCCTAACCAAACATCTAAAACCTAAGAGAACTGCACTGGGATAAACGGAGTACCTGTCACAAGCAGAGCCCTGGTGGGACTGTCTGTGCCCCCTCTACACGCAGGGGCCGCCTGGTCTGCAGGGGCACCCGAGCCCCCACCCCCAGCTGCACGGTTTCCCACTAAAGACCTGAGGAACCGAGCGAGAGTCTCTGCTGCGGGAAAGGGTTAGCGGCACCTTCAGCCGAGCGCACCAAGACGCTCCCTCCAGCCTCCGCAGGAAGTGCGCTGGAAGGCCCCTGCTGGCACCTGTCACGCTGCAGGAGAAAGGGACATTGGCAGGTCGTCGTCTCGCCTTCTGTCCCCTTGGGCTCCCGCCCATTGGTAGCGGCGTGGCCTGGGCTACCTTCCGCCACACACGCCACGCCGCGGTGGCCGCCCAGCCCCTTGCTTGCCGCTCACTTCGGCGTTGCAAGAAACGGCTGGGAGAGCTGTCACCACTGGCTGCTTGTGAAACCCCGAGGCTTGGTTCTGTCGAAAGACCAGGCATCAGACGCAGACGGGCCACATGCTGCTGGTTGCAGTCCTGCCCGTCGTTAATGCACGAGACGGATGCCCACGTCTGTTGTGTCTGTGTGACGTTTCCGGGCCCTTTCGGACATCCCAACGATCCAGCAGCAGCAGCAAGTGCGGGGGCTTTTGCCGCCCGAGTGCTTGGGAACTGAGCCCCCCAGCGACTGTGGCTGCGCTGCTGGGGGCAGGTGACTGGGGTTGCAGCCCGTCCTTTTGGCACATGGCGCGGCTGCAGGAGGGAGCCCTGCCTGGCCGCTTCGCTCGGGGGAGCCACTGGGGGCAGGGGGCTGGGAGCCGACACAGTCGCTTTCCCCGGCTCACAGCTACCCGGGGCTTTTGGGATTGTGGTGTCTGAAAGGAGTCGGTGTCCCTGACAGGTGAGCCTGGATTCTTTGGCCTGGGCCAAGGGGAGCAAAGGGAAGAAGCAGAATGCGAGAGATGCGGCTGAAGGCGGGCGACCCGCCGTTGTTGGACACGCCATTAATTCCACTATTTTTCACATGGGAAAAACCTTCCTTCCTGTTTAGGGGGAAAGCCTAGAGGTGGTTTTCACCCTTTGGCACTCATGGCAGGATGGTGCCCAAGGCACGAGACCAGCAGCCCTCTGGCCTGATTCTTGTCCCTTTGCTGCTTGGCCTCCTTAGACATTGCTTCAGACTTTGCAGTTAGGGTAAATGTACTCAGTAGCTTGTTAATTTTTACCTTCTTGCTTAAGCTTGAAAAAAAAGGGTCCGTCTGGTTTACTCCCGATCTAGGGCAACGGCTCAACTTCCTTTCAGTGAGCCAACAGAGAAGAGACTTTGCCTGCGGTTTGAGTTTTAAAATTTAAACTCCAAATCTGAAGCCTATAATTGGCATTCTGACAGTCCGATTATTTTTTATTTTATTTCTATTTGTATCCTGCCTTTTTTCCTTTCGAGGAATTCAAGGCAGCAGCTCACACAATTCTCCGCTCAAGCTTAGCTTCACAACAGCCGTGTGGGGAAGGCTGGGCCGAGTCTGGGACTGACCCAGAGTCACCCAGCTGGCTGCATGGCTGAGTGGGAACTGGAACCCAGATCGCCTGAGTCCCAGTCCTGGGCTCTTAACCACTGCACCACACTGCCTCTTTGACTCGAAGAAGCATCCTTTCCTTCCACAGGAGAAATTGTATGAACCCACCTTCTCTCCCCACACTTTGCCGCAACCGGAGGGACCCCGAAACCTGTGCAGATGCGGTCTGAGAACACCCAGTTCTCTTGCTAAGCACTCCCAGCAAGTCCATTAACTTATTCCAATCAGCCAAGCAAGCAAACCCAGAGCAGGGCCGCTGGGAGCTTTAAAGTTCTTTGAGCTCCCGGGACGTCACGTGTGTCTTTCCTGCGAGCTTGGGCCCCAGATCACACGAACAGCGACACTGAAGGTCCAGGATCCTGTCGCTATTTCAGCTCGGTTGTGGTTCAAATGCACCCTTGGCTCTTGCGTGCCTTCCAGTGGTGGCAGCACTGCAGGGACAAATTGTGCTTCCGCGGACGCGAGGGAACAGTCTGCTTCTGCAAGATTAATGCCAGCTGCTCAGAGGCCCTAAACTGTGGACTCGTCTGTCGGGAGAGAAGCGTCCGAGATCTCGGGTTGCTACCTTCAAAGAGCGAGTTAAAGACACGCCTCTTCCGACAGACATCTCCAGATTAGTTTAATATGCTTTTCCATAATTCTGAATTATCGTTGGTTTTAATCTCTTGTAAACTGCCAAGAGCCTATGGGAATGGGATGGTATATAAAAATCTAAACAACAAGCAGAGCAACCACAGTATGGGCCTGTTGAGTCAGATTCCGAACCACATTTGCAGTGCGTTACCTGTGTGATTTCAGCAGTGGGGAGACCGGAAATCAGTAGCCCTGGCAGGGGGGGGGGGGAGGCAGAGCTGCTGTGGCATCAATCAGGCTGTCCAGATAGGTTGGAGTAGGAAAGTCAGCTTGGCTCGAGAAAAGCTGCCTTTGGCCCATCCAGCCCAGTTCAGTCTAGAAAGTGGAAAGGACGCCATTTAATTCTCTCCCCCATAATACTAGAACGCAGATCTGTGGGAGGTTCGGCACAAACGAACGTCCATCGCGCAATGGTGTGGTTAAACAATAGAACTCATTTCCAGGTCGCGATGGCCACCCATTTGGATGCCTTTAAAATGGGACTGGGCAAATTCCTCGAGAAGGCAGCCATTTGTGGCTACTGGGCTTGCTGGCCACGGCTCCCTCCTTCCCCAGAGGCGGCCTGCCGGCACGCCCCGGCTGCTGAGGAGCTGGGCAGGTGCAGGTCTTGCACCCCTCCTGCCGGAGGGACCCCGTGGGCAGCTGGCTGGCCACCGTGTGCCCCGAGTGCTGGACTGGATGGACCACTGGCCTGATGTCCTTGTTTGATTGCTCGGCTTTGTTCTTGGTTGAAGGCACGTGCCTTCAGGTCTCCTCCAGCCTTGATGCAGCCATCTCGGGTCATCAGAATCCCCCGAGGGCCTTCCACGCCCAAGCCATCTGGGTCCTGGAAGGGGGTCTCTTCCTGCAAACCTCGCTCTGTCAACCTGCTGTTTCTCCACTCCCCCAACAGGTAGCCATGACAGAAAAGCTGCATTTGCTCCTCACGGACCTCCGGAGAAACAGCCGGTGACGCCCAGGAGCCCAGGCACGGGCCCGGCAGGGTCCGCATCGCGCGGCCGGAGGCTCTACGGGCGCAGCACCGTCATGCGCCTTGGACGAGTGCGACGGCTGTGCCAGAACTAACCAAGGCTGCATTTATGCACTTCCAGTGTGTTAAAGCAACGCTGAGCGATCAAATTGCACGTGCTCTTTAGGGAAGATACTCTACCAGAGGTCCAGATTTAGAATAAATGGACATAAATTATGCTACTACTACGCAATAATAAAAGTGCTACTAATTCTTATGTTGGAAGTCGGTGTGCTGCTGTCTCTCTTCCAGGGCAGATTGGGGTACGTGGCATGTGGGACCTCGCTCCTTGTCGTGGGCCAGTGCCTGGTTTCAAACTGGAAGCTGAACGATGGCCGGAAAGCAAATCCGCGGGAAAGCGGTAAGGGATGCGCTGTCCTCAGGATAGCCGTGAGCTGCCCCCGCTACCGGAGCAGCCTTTGCCCACCTGTTGCTGGGGAACGTGGGGGGAGGGTGCTGTCCCCCTCCGGTCGGCCGGCCGGCCGGTCGCTCTGGGAGCAAGATGCAGCACTGGCCATGCAGCGTTTGCATTCAGCCTCTTGGAGGGAGGAGGCAACGCGAGGGAAGCAGACCCTACGTGGGGGGATCCGATGCAAGGGGTTTAAAATGGCCGTGCCTGCGGCCGTGGAGATCTGAGTGACCGGGGCTGGCTGCTCGGGACCAGGACCTGGGCCTGCCTAGCTCGTGCGCTGATGTGGAGACGACCCAAGTGGGTGGCAAGAGAGCCGTGCCAGGTTCAGAGCTCCTTGGAGAAGAGGCAGGAAGCGAGTGTACGCGACGGGTAAACCAAGAGGAGAGCTGCTGGCATAAGAACCGAATGCATAGAATCACAGAATAGCAGAGCTGGAAGGGGCCATGAAGGCCATCCGGTCCACCTCCTGCTGTTGCAGGACACCAAGTCACACCACCCCACTCAGAGGGCTGCCCAGTTTCTCCTTGAATGCCCCCAGTGTGGGGCAGTCCCCCACCTCTCCGGGCAGCTGGTTCCACTGTCGTGTTGCTCGGACCGTGAGGAAGCTTTTCCTGATGTCCAGCCTGAACCTGGGTTGCCGCAACTTCCTTATTCCGTGTCCTACCCTCCGGCATCACCAAGGAGAGATCCTGGCCTTCCTCTTTGCGGCACGTCACTACTCAGGTACGTACGCTGAGTAGTGACTTCAGGCTGTCTTAGCCTTCCAAATGCTTCTGAAGAACGCAGAATGTTCTTTGCTTATGTGAAACATGGAGACTGTAAATCCTAAGAGTGTTTCCAGGGACTCCTTCTCCCCCCCACCCACATTGCCTATAGGGTGAATACGTGGTGTGCCTGAACAGGTCATGCCCCTCTTAATGGCGGCACCCCGAACAGAGTCCACGTAATTTCTGAGTACTCCCAAGTGTGGCAAATGCGTATGCCCCTTTCCTACCGTACAGAACAGAGCAGCAAGGATTGGGGCCTTTACAGTGGCTGGATTCAAACATGACAACCGTGGTGGTTTTACCTTTGTTGGGTTGTCCTGTCACCCGGTATTTCACCATGGTAAGTTTGGTTTTGAGAACCCATGAGAAGAAACAAGTTTTCTTCTATGGTTTCACTGTACTACTATGGCTTGTTGTCTCGTCTGAACCCAGGATCATGGTTCCATGGTTCTGATATGCAACTACTGCAAGGTCCCCAGCCCAGTGAGGAAGACGGAAGCAAGCAACTTGGGGGAACGGATTTCAGGCTTGCGGGCCGATGGGATACGCACCAACAGCAGGAGGACTGAGCAGGGAAGACGTAAACGACCCGGCACAGAAACTACTTCATCACCTGCTCTCAGGAAGGCAATGTGTGGCCCCGATTCTCCTGCTTTTCTCCTGAGACTTTATGCATAGGACAAGTACAAAAGGTTTAAATAATAATGCTTTCCACACATGCAACTCCCTGGAAATCAAGCAAGTTACTTATCCTTTTTGCTCAAAATTAACTTTTTGAGGCCTAATGAGAGTCTGGACTTTCGAGTGGAAGGCAGGAATGTTCACCCCTTCACCAGATGCCCCGATGGCAATGCACACTGGAGCTGCGGGGGGGGGGGCGGGTGGCTGATCCAAACTGGGATCACAGTGGGTGGGGGTTGCAAACTATTTATGTCTCCTCAACTTTCCACCCCATGCTAGGATTTCAATCTGCAGTGTAATGTGCCGTCTTAATTTGTGAGTTCACATTTCACAGTGCGGCTCTCCAAGCATGAGTCCCGGGGCACTCCAGCCTCAGAACGAAACTGAACCGGTGCATCCAACCTTTGCCAGCCGCTGGTGTCCGGAGGCCCCGATACGAGCAGCAAAACTGGCAGCCTCTCTACTGCTGGCAAGGTCACCAAGCCAACAAAAAGCAAGCCTCTGACCAGCCGGAATGAAGTGCGTGGTAGGTTTGCACCCAAATTAGAAACAAGTATTCCACAGGGTATTTCCACAAATTCCAGGGAAAGGGTCCGTGCGCTGATTTTCAGATGACTGCCAATTTTTACATGATTTGCTCAAAAAAACAGGGATTTTTATGAAGCAAAAGAATCTCAAAGCCTAAAAGGTGGGCACTTTTTTGTATAGCTATCTCTACTGGAAACTCAACATTAAGAAAACTAAGATCATGGCATCCGGTCCTCTCACTTCCTGGCAAATAGATGGGGAAGAAATGGAAGTAGTGACAGATTTTATTTTCCTGGGCTCCAAGATCACCGCAGATGGGGACTGCAGCCAAGAAATTAAAAGACACTCCTGGGGAGGAAAGCTATGGCAAATCTAGACAACATACTAAAAAGCGGTGACATCGCCCTGCCAACAAAAGTGCGTATAGGCAAGGCTATGGTTTTCCCAGTTGCAATGTATGGCTGTGAAAGCTGGACCATAAGGAAGGCTGAGTGCCAAAGGATTGAGGCCTTTGAATTGTGCTGGAGGAGACTCCTGCGAGTCCCTTGGGCCGCAAGGCGATCCAACTGGTCAGTCCTAGAGGAGATCAACCCTGACTGCTCTTTGGAAGGCCAGATCCTGAAGATGAAACTCAAATACTTTGGCCACTGAATGAGAAGCAAGGACTCCCTGGAGAAGAGCCTGATGCTGGGAACAAGTGACGGCAAAAGAAGGAGGGGGCGGCAGAGGATGAGGTGGCTGGATGGGGCCACTGAAGCAGTTGGCGTGAGCTTGAGTGGACCCCGGGGGATGGTGGAGGACAGGAAGGCCTGGAGGAATGTTGTCCAGGGGGTTGCGAGGGGTCAGACACAACTTCACGACTAACAACAACATCATCATCTCTACTGGGGAGAGGGGGGTCCTGTGCAACTTTAATAGCAGCACAAAAAAGGCAAGCAGCTGCAGGTTGCAGAGCCAGGAAAGCCGATGCACCTCCTTCCTTGCCTAGGGAAGTTCCAAGTCCCACTGCAGTCCAGGGATCCAATCACCTTGCTCTGGAAGTGACCCTGCTCCCAGCCCAGGGCGCCCCCCTGCACGCTAGGTCCCCATCCAGAACAGCCCCGCACTCGCAACTGCAAGACGTGGCCCGCTTTGCCCCCAGGAGGCACCTGGAGCCTGCAGAGCCAGCCCACCCGACAGGCTGTCCCGACGCCTGAATGCCCAGCGCAGCTGCGGGCAGCCCGCCGCCACCTCGCGGCCGCCACAGGGGCTTGTTTTGAAATACGAGCCGCCAGCGGGGCCTTCTCCGAGGCCAGACTTCCTTTTCCCGCGCAACCCTATCCGTGCTTTTTCAGGAGAGAATTCCAGCGCGTCCAACGGGGCCAAAGCCTAGCTATTAGCCTGCGGCCCAAATTTCCTGCAGCAATATTTATTCTTTAAAAATCCAAGCAGGTGCAGATGCAAGAAACGGCGGATTTATTGCAACAAAGCCCAGCACAGGACGCCCACCGATCCGCCAGCCTTCTCGATCTTCAGTTCACCTTTTTAACGGAAGAACAAACGGGGTTGCCTCCCATCTTAGCAACGTCTTCAAGTTCAGCTTCCTGCTGCCGCAGCGCGCCAAGCTTCTCCCTTGCGCTCCCGCGGCCGCGCGCGGGCTCCGGCCGCCCGAGGTGCGCCAGGAAACGCGCAGGGCCGCGCCGGTTCCGCGGGCCACGCGGCGGCCGCTTTCAGGGCGAGGCGGCGGCGCCCTTCTTCTCCGGGGCGGCCTCTTTCGGCGCGGGGAGGCCGCCGGGCGAGGTGCGGGCGGGCCCCCGGAGGACCGGGATGGCGACGGCGCCCCCGTCGGCGCGCGGCGGGGCGAGGCGCGGGGCCTCGACCAGCAGGCGCCCTGTCTCGGGCACGAAGCTGCAGGCCAGCGCGTCCAGCTGCGCGTCCGCGGGCAGGAGGATCTCCTTGCGCACCTCGCGGAACTCGTGCGACACGCAGCCGTCGGGCGCCTCGCTCCTGCGCATGCTCTTGCCGCACAGCGCCAGCCGCCGCCCGTCCAGCCGCGCCGCCAGCTCGTCCGCCGCGAAGCCGGCCACGTTCAGCCAGAAGCGGTAGCGGCTGGCGTCGTGCTCGTCCCTGTCGGCGCGGGCCGCCGGCGGCTCCCTGCGCTCGGAGGGCTGCGGGCGGGCCCCGGCCAGCGCCGCGCGCATCCCTTGCGCCTCGCCCAGGTGGCTCTGCATGCCGGCCGCCAGCTGGTCCGGGAGTCGCGGCGGGGCAGCCCCAGCGGTGCGGGCTCGCGGGGCGGCGCAGGACGCCCGTTGCTCGCCGGGCCCGCCGGGGGTGGGGCTGGGCGGCGCGCCGGCGCTGCGCGTTCGGGGCCGTGCGGGGGGGCGGGTGCGGGCGCGGGGCGCCTCCTCTGCGCGCCTCTCTGCGAGCCCACGCTTCCCCGAGGAGCAAAATTCGGCGCGATCCTACGCACGTGTATTCCCCCCCCCCCCAACTTGCACAGAGTTGTGCTCGCGGTGCATTCTGCAGTCCAGGCGCACGCTCCCAAACTGCCTCCCGGGTCGTTTGTAGGGAACGGGATAGAACAGCTTTTAATTCCTTAATTGCTCGCAGAGCATGGTAGCCAAACTTGGAATCTTTTACGTGTTTATTCACGCATTCACCCATGCATTCATTGAAATTATTTTCCGCTATAAGCAGTCTTGGGACTTTCTAAACGGAGTACAGCATTTCACATGTCAACAAAACCCTCGTTCCCAGGGAGCGTGTCTGGCGCGCGCTATTTTGCAAAAAAACGAAAACCGAAACCGCAAACTTACAGAACAGCAACTTTCCAGCGAGCTACGCTGCACG